ATGGCAGGTTCATTTTTGTGAAGGGCAGAATGGGCCACACCCTATGCACATACGCCAACGTATACTTACCCAATGTTGGTCAGATTCCTTTTCTGGAATCCACCCTGGAGCACCTTGGGGAGTTTACGGAGGGGGTATTGGTTCTGGGGGGAGATTTCAATTTGGTCTGTGACCCCAGATTGGGCGGGTGGTGTAATCTCTGAGATACCTGGGCACTACTATCCCGACGGACCTTTCCTGTACCTTCCATCCTCTGTATAGGGACATTCGGTTGGACCTCTCTAGGTGGCATGCCGGTAAATTTTCATAGTTCGGCAGATGCAACATTCTGAAAATGAACGTTATGCCACGCATTCTCTACCTATTGCAAACTCTGCCGATCCATATACCACAGTCCTTACTTAAGACAGTTAACAGTGCCTTTGTGAAATTTCTGTGGGCCCACAGACAACCCAGGATTAAGCCATCGATTTTACGCATGCATAAACTTTGCGAGGGTATTGGCCTACCCGATGTGACTAGATACCACGCGGCATGCCACCTCACGAGGGTGATCGACTGGTGCCGCCACGGTCCATTTAAACAGTGGATAGGGCTTGAACAATCAGGAGCGGGAATCCCTTTGTCAGCTCTGCCCTGGTGCATAAGGGAGATCCCGACATCGGTGAAAAACCATGCCACAATAGGTCCATCATGGGTTGCGTGTCGCAAATTTTTCCCCGTGGAAGGTGTGTGCCCAACACCTTCACCCTTATTTCCTATCCTAGGCAATCCCACATTCACTCTTGGAATGGAAGATCCTGGCTTCCATGCACTAACTGGGGCCAATATTCACAGGGTCAAACATTTCATCCGGACCGAGGCCTGGTTGTTGCTGGGGGACATGTTGTTGGGACCACAGTGGTCCCCTCAAATTCTGGCAAAGTGTACAGTTGTCCCATTTTCTCCGGTCCCTACCACCTGCCAAGACTTTTAACCGGCCTTTGACAGAGTTTGAGTTAGAGTGCGATCCAGGCCCCCCTCTTCACCACGTGGTGTCTATGGTCTATTCACTAATGGACTCCCACCCAGAGGAAAATACTTCCCCATACTTCCACAGATGGGAGCGCGAACTGGAAACCCAGTTCACGCCAGAGCAGAAAGAAAAAATTATTTACTTTGCCACAAAACCTCCAGATGCACCAGGATCCAGGAGTGCAACTATAAGATTCAACAAACCGCAGCTAATACAAGCGATCAGGCGTCTCTAGAGATCCCTGATCGCTTGAATGTAAAGCTCCCGTACAGCTACTCGTCCAGCTCCGGCGTCCTCTCGTCACAGACAGATTATCATACATGGAACATAAAATACATGACTTCATGGAGATGTTTTCTCTAATGGCTCATTCACTCCATATCCAGTGATTGGTGTTTTTCAGTAACTGAACAATATCAGTCACCACTAGGGCACATAGAAAACAGGGCATGCTGCATTTGTTTTCATAGGGCAATGAGGGGAATTTATCAAAACTGGAGCAGACAAAATTTAGAGCAGTTGCCCATAGCAACCAATCAGTTTCTGTCTTTCATTTTCAAAGCTTAATTGAACAAACAGAAGACAGAAGCTGATTGGTTGCCATGGGCAATGTGTCACGCTGCATCCCAGCATACTACCCTGCTGTGTGGAGACCTGAATGGAGTGTATACTTTGTACACTCCAAATAAAGTTAAAAGAAAATAATAAAGTAAACAGTGTGATAGGCTGAGACAGCACATCACATAGCCCACCCTCCGGACCTGTCACACCATACTAGCCTGCACATTAAAACTGAGCATTTTAGCATGCAAGGTAGTGTGAATGAGCCCTAAGACATTTAATATCAACCAAATAATGGCTATAAGGTCAGTATGATCTTACTTATTCATTTTAACTATAAAACTAAAAGTTGAAAAGGTATCACACCAACATCTTTTCTTGATTGTACAGTACAGGACACAGGCAAATTAGAGTTGTCTGAGTAATATGCAGGTATTATCAGGTGATTGGACATTGGCCAAAGCTGTGAGGATCCTCACATAAACCCTCCCACTCCAGAAAAATAATTTATTGATGTCTTAAGATGATGGATGTCTTCTCTACTGAGTGAGCTGTATACAGCCTGTTTAGATGTGGTCCAAGCTGTCTTAGTTTATCTTTCAGCTACTGCTTCATGTGGATTGTCTCTTTGTCCCTCTTGAAGGACCTCGCAGGAGGCTTCCTACATCGTTCTGCCAATTCCCGGTGGATTAGACAAGTCATTGTGCATGCCCATAAGTAAGATTATGCCCTTTCCTGTAGAGGTGCACCCTACAAGATCTGTCAGTGCCTCTTGGCCTTTTCGGCATCAGCCTTCTGTGATGCAGATTTGTAACGCTGCCACCTGGTCTTCTGTACATACATTTACAAATTTCTACCAGGTGGATATTCAGGCTTCTGCTGCTGCTAACTTTGGCTGTAAAGTAGTACAGGCTTCTATCTAAGTTATGGTCTCCCCTTGTTTTCTGTTATGTGGGCCTGTTGGCTGTGTTGCCCACCCCTCTGTTCTATTGCTTTTGGATGTCCCAGTCATCTCTGAATTGCCTGGGTCCTGTACTCTACGTCAAGAAAATAGGATTTATGACTTACTAGTAAAATCCATTGCTTTGGGTACAATACAGGACACAGGACTCTATACACTTTCAAGTGTCCTCTTGAAATCTTAGCTTCTACAAGTCAATGGTTACAGGCTGCTGACTGGATCCTAGCTCGATACACATGATCTCTCTGTTGTTTATAGGATCCCAGCAACTTACAATCTGTGATGTTGGGGAGTTCACAGAGCACTTGCACAGAGGGTTTTGAATAAAACAAAAGTTTTTATTTTCCTCATGCAGGGCAGCCAAAAACCTTAAACACAAATACAGGCTTATCTTCGGCGAACTCAAAGTAACAAATCTTTGGCACAATTAAAAACATAAATGCGTCTCACCAACTTGTTGAAAAAAGGTCCTAAACCTGGGGGAATCCCTTCCCAGGAATATAAGTCCTGCCAACACAGCACAGCTATACAGCAGGTCTCTCTCACAGCCACAGCTGATCACTTCCTCCTCAACTCCCACACTCCTCTCTGGAGTTGCTGACCTTTTCAGCTGCTTCCTGTGTCAGGAAGGTTAACCCTCTGGTGCCCCTTAAGGGGACAACAGCCCAAAGAGTGGCGAAATATATCTGCCTTCAACCACCCAGCCTTGCCGTCCTCTACAATTCTCAGAGTGCCAAGTGAAGGGAAAAAGTAACATGGAAGAACTCATTTGGCAGTTAATTTAAAAAGTTAAAACATTTTTAAAAAACGTCACAGTAATCATGTCAGTTAAGGCACAGATTAATGTATTAAATAATCTAACTTTCTGAAGAGAGCTTCCTGCTGACGTTTACAGGGTTATTTACAAAAGGGTGAAGAGTTTGGAGAAGGCAGGAGAAGTGAACAATCTAGAACAGGGGTCTCAAAGTACCGGCCTGCTAGCCGATACTGTGACCCGCAGCCAGCTGACAAGTCGGACACACGGTCACGGACCGCGTGCCCGACTTGCGGGAGCAGTTACACGGTCTTTCATCTCTGTCGGATGCAGACCGCAGAGCTGCTCCGGTTTTACATGCAGCAACTGTCACGCATTCAAGTTAATGATCAGGTGACAGCCGATGCATGTACACACGCATGTATGTGATATGATTATATGCAGTTACAAAAACAATCACTATCCGTATCCAGGGATAGTGATTGATTCCTAACTGCATGCAATCCTTTCACATATGATTACATGCGATGTGCAGGCGTTTACATGCAGCAGCTGTCAGACGATCATTCATTTGAATCGGTGACAGTTGTCGCTTGTAACATGTGCAGACATTAAAACTGGTACCGTATATAGTAGCGGCCCCCACGGGACTAAAATAATTGTCCAGTGGCCCCCGACTAAATTGAGTTTGAGACCCCTGATCTAGAACAAAATAATCGATTTGGAAAAATTCTCCTATTCAGCTCACTTACCAGTTCAGCTATGTTATATAGTTACATAGTATTTGAGGTTGAATAAAGACACTGGTCCATCAAGTCCAACCTTTTGTGATTGTGTGTGTGTGTGTGTGTGTGTGTGTGCGCGCGTGCGTGCGCGTATGTTGTCCTAGATTGTTCACTTTTTCTGCCTTCTCCAAACTCTTCACCCTTAAATACCTCTGTTTTTCTCCTTTATCTGCTCCTGTAGAGTAGTCATTGAAAGGTTAAATTTAACATGATCCAAAACAGATTCACAAAATAAATCTGACTAAAGCATCATGGCTGAATTGTTTACACTGACGTACTGAAAAAACTGATGGCAGTTATTTCTAAACCATTTTTCTCATTTTTATAGACATTTATTTACTGGCTTGATACCAGTAGATTGGTATCAAGCAAATTAGGTATATTCAAAAATATAGAAAGATATTTTGCCAGGGCGTGGCTTGGCAGCACATGTGAACAGACGTGCTTAACAGAGCTCCCAGAATTATTTCAAGAGTTCTTCCATGGCAACAAAGCATAGCTGTATTTGATTGTAAACCTTCTATTTGACCTCCCCGCACCCTCCACATCAAAATTCTCAAATGGAACACAGGCCTCAAATGCAGATGATGAGCATCCTCATTGCCTGAGTACAACTCAACATTGTTAACCGCCTTTCATACACCTTGAAAAGCGAATGTGCATGAGCTAGGCACACAGAGAGAATAATGGCTGTTCAAGTTTAATGCTTGTGTCTGAGATCACCATGACGCTCTATGGCTGTGCTTGTCCAAATTAGAAGTTGCTGCAGCTTTGAGAGACTAAAACAATACCATGGCGTGTGAAAGTATGGTGCGGTCAGAACCATACCCTGCATGCATCTATGATCTGAATGTGAAAAATGTAATACTTTATGCGTGTTTCCATTACCTAAGATATTACTAAACTGTCTCTTTTTTATTCCAGGTATTTTATTTCACACAAACCAAACAAAACGTGGCAACAGGTGTTTTGGTTTGCCATAAGCATTGCTATAAACAATGCTTACATCCTCTATAAAATGTCTGACGCCTACTATGTAAAAAGGTACAGCCGGGCTCAGTTTGGTGAGAGACTTGTGAGAGAGTTACTTGGATTGGAGGAAACGTCACCTCAAGATTGATCCCTGGCATGCCCTAATCTTCAGCTAAAGTCCTTCAAAAAGGAACATGAAGCCACTACTCTGGATTGGTATTCAGGGATTTCATCCTCAAATATGCCAACCTGCTAAATATTGCGATAAAACAAAGACTTAAAATTTGGACAAATTATTAAGCATTGTTCAGTGAGCTTTGTGTCTCCCTTTTCTAATAATATCTGGAAATACATGCATTTTCAATTATGAAATTCATAAATGGAGAGGAAATACAACATGAATCACATGTCATTGAAATTATATTCTTTAACATTAAATCACAAGTCTGCAAATTTGAAACAGACACAAAGTTAGATTTCATTGTTTTCTCTATTAATTTTATTTGAAAATATGAACTATTTAAATCTTGGTACTTTGATAGATTTAATTTTCTTTAATGTTAATTGGGACAGTACAGCCCAGTACAGCCAGTACAAAAATTATGGATTATCATATCAAATGATATAATGATATACCATGGCACTGAAAGTTATATATTAGCACTACCCACAGTCTAATCTGCTGACTGCTAGATCAGTAGGTGGTAGGTCACAAGATAGGATAAATTACCACATTTTTCTTTTCTACTTACTTTATATATCCCCTTAGTTTATTCTATATTATAAACGATGTTTACAAGAGATGTTATCATGAGATTACATAAAGGAGGTTTCACTGTTTTACTCATTAGGGAGAATTTGCAAGCTTTCAGAGATACCACATTATTTTTGTTAGTTTTATAATGAACATGACGCATCTCATTTAGAAGAGTAGGTCACCCGACAGTGGGGGACCACAGGATGTGTATCAGTTTTCAAATTAATTGCTTTTTGGATGAAATAGGCAGAATATGAGCCCTAGAGCAGTTATACACAACTCATTTTACAGTTTAAAAGAACAAAAACATGATGTAAAGTTAAGAAAGGTCCAATAAGCTGAAAGTAGAATAAAGCATAATTTTCCAGTAAACTATTTTTTGCAATAATTTACAGAAAAATACCATTTATTAGCATAAGTACTATTCAAATACTATATATGGGTAAAGGTGGTACAGGTGGTGTCAGATGGCTGGATTTAAACCATATCAGGAGCAAAATCTGGTAGATAAAAATCTTCCAATTGGATGCAATAGTATTTATATGAAGACCACAGACATCTTATAATTATTTTTTTTAATCCGTTCTGTTAGTTGATCCCAGTTGGCAGCTGGAAAATTTTTGTTACAGCATCTGCTGTCAGGCCTGACGCCTTTATATAGAGGAGGAGAGATTCAATTCTAATTTATTAGTCTTTTGAAATGCTTAAGGGAAGGTCATTGAATATTTTCATTTAAGAAACTCAGAATTTAATAAGGCAAAAGGTTTAATCTAGAGTAAAAAGTTTTGACTACAGCAATGTTCACCAATACAATTTAAAAGACGACACTGATTACTTTGAACACAAAATGTTAGATAAGAGTCAGTCAGTCGTTTAGAAATCATGAATAATTTATGTGTGCTGGCATTAAAAATAGATCAATACTGCCATTGGATTGAATCAAATATTAAATGCAAGCTGTATGTTTCAGGTTATATGTAAGCTATGTTGTTTTACTGAAAAAAGGAACAGTTAGCAATGTGAAGACCGCAGGTTACTTTTCTGAACCTGTGCATACACAAGTTTTATTTGTTATTGTACCTGTTTATGCAGGTCAAAATTGTGTGCAAATTTGTATTATTGAAGAAAAAAACCTGGGCAAATAAGGATATTCTTGTTTAATGTGGACTATTTATGTGATGAGTTTAAGATTAAATAAATATAAATGGCATTACATTAAATATATTACACTTTTTCCTATATTCAAGGAAAGGTTCAAGCCTTTAATAATATTGAAAGTAGCAACACTTAGTAACCCAACGTATTTCAGTCAGGATTAATAAAAGATGATTGTTTTGGGCTAATGCACTTTTGCTGTATTTAAACCTTTGTATGCTAAGTAGATATAAGAACCACAAAGAAGGAGATTTTATTAGGCATTACCAGTTCTACCTGAGGCCACAAACAATAATAGAACACAATTACTGACTAATACTTTCAGGATTACATAGCAAGTGCTTTTCATATGCTAACCTAACAAATTACTTTATATAGACACATAAATGGCATTATATTGAAGATAGCATGATGTTTTTAGTTATTCTAAACACTGATGAACAAATCAATTTGCCAAATTCAAGATTCCAGTACAGAGACTGGTGCACTGATATGGAGTGGAATCACAATGGATCAAGGGCTGCAAGAGAGCAGGCCTCCCACCAGATTGTTTTATACAATATGTCCTAAAGATAATGGGATCCCCCACCAAGCACCTGCATTTATCATATTCTCTTATGCCTGCACCAGTCCATAAAGAGTTGACGATGATAATAGGGATTAAGGTGCAGCTTACTGGCCACTTATGAACTTGTTAATGGGTCTGTTGGACCCCATACCTGTTCAGCCAAAAAGCAATACTTGCCTACCTTTACATTGCAGCTCAGGAGGTCAGGACTAATTATTGCTAAGACTTTAGGCTTTAAAGAATAGGAGGGGCCTCTACTGGATTAAGAACAACAAAGTAAGCACAATGACCATCTAGGCAATACTTAACCTTTAAAACAGAATGGGGAGACACGATATATTCACTTTAATAAAATGTATGTTATATTCTGTGTAAATGTTTTTTTTTTGCTTTTATTCCAGTTGGGCAACCAAGCAAGTTGTTCAAAAGACCCATTTACCAAGGACCCATTCACTAGTTCACCAGATACAGTTGTAGCAAATAGTTATCTTAAGTGTACCTCTTTCTGAAGCACCACAAGTAGGGGTCTTTGTAGGAGAAAATATTAGAAAAGTAACATTTCACCCCCACAATATAATAGTAATACTGGGATATTTTATTATTTGAAGTCTTATGTAATTGTGTAGCAAAGAAAATCTGTTGTCAGAGGGAACAATACAATACCAGTAGACTACGTTGGCATTTAATTGGGGATTCTTACACACAGAGCCCCTTTGTGTAGAGAAAAAAATATGATGACTTGAAACCCCTTGAACTGGAAGTTAACTTCTAGCTATATGTAATATGCTTAGAAGGGAAACTGTGTAAGGAAGACTGAACACCAATAATTATGTTATTCTCTACCCACGTAATACAAAAATCAGAGAATATTGTGCATACAAAAATAAATGTGAGCTCTTTTTTTAAAGAAACCGTATACCCAAATCTATAGAACATGGCATGTATATATGCTTTTTTTTTTTATTTGGATAAAATGACCAGCACTATAATGAGGCACTACACCACTAACCACCAATGTAAGGGAGCAGTACTCTGACCACTCTACACAGTGCATATCCCACACATAATCCTTACTACTGTACTCTGTAAGCTGTGTTGTAAGTCACATATTTCTGATCACTTTACTCTATAAGTTGTGCTGTACATTATACAATCCTGATTAAAGGCTTCATTGCCTCAACAGTTGCTGGTTGCTAAGTAGGACTAAGTAGTCCTTTAAGATAGGCCCAAAGTGTTAACTCTATGTCTATATTCTTTGTACTTAAAAGCATATGTAATGGAAAAAGGATTTTTAAATTACTGATGCTTTGTCATAAGGTTTATGCGTGTTTGTGAGAATTTCCCTTGTGGCACAATAATTCAGGTAAATTTTGTGGTTACAAGGACTGTTGCATTTGTGAGCAGTGTATATGAGGATTGGGCTCTATTTAATCATATCCCTTTAAGCTGCACTTACCTGTTCAGTGCAGTGTGGCAGTGTGCATTATTTGCTATGGCATGCTGCAGCTTTTTACTCTTCAAGATGCCTAGGTCTTTCACAATCCTAGCAATGACTCTGTACTTGGATTGGATGGATCATGTCTACACATCCACTTTGCAATTTGAATTGTGCCTAGCTATACTTCAGTCTTATGCAGTTATGGCAGGCTACAATGATGCAAGTGGTACCGCGGGCACACAGGCTTAGCATGTTGTGATTTTGTCACATTGGCCTGAATTGGGAGCCACTGCATCTAGTTCCTAGGCTTAAAAAATGTACTAATTGTGGTGGAATGTGAAAATAGAAACCAACTTTGGGCAGAATTTGTGCAAAAAGTGAACTGTATGTGGATGTTCACATTTTTTTAGTTTATATACTTGCAAATTTACCTTTCATTACATACAGCATCTTCTGATAATCTGTGGAAGCCTTCACAAGTGCAATACATCTGCAGAGGCCTATAAGCCCCCCTCAGTGGTAGGTAACAGAACATGAACTATTTGGACTCTAGTCTGTTATTTTAATGGTTTCACTGTTCATAGTTTTAAACCTATTCTAAACCAGGTGTAAACTTTTCTCTGTCTTCAGATATGTTAAAACTACACTATAGGTTTTTCTTTTTGCCTACTGTTAGTGGCAGAGCACTACAAATGTATGCACAACATGGAGTTATTGTTTTAACAGCAGATCAAAGCACTGTAGGGATAATACTTAGATCAATACTGCCTTCCTTACTTCCAACTATATTATCTTGTGCTATGGCTTTAAAAGATATCTAAACAGAAGAACAAAAATGTAATATATTGCAGTTTACCGGTCATTGGAGGTGGCACTGATTTAGCTTTCATTTTTTAGGCTAAGAACATTTTCAGCAAGTACAGAAAAATACCTGTTGATCTTGCGAGAAATGCAGCCCCCTTGTCGTAATCTTATCTTCTTTCTATAAACCACTAATCCCCTCCATTCAATAGACATAATTAGAGGAAGACTTATTTGAAGTTCAGTCTGGGTGCCAACCATGACTCCCTCCATAGATACAGGGGAGTGAGTAAGTGTAGCCACCCTAGGACAGGAAGTTTCACAGGATTACAAGGTGAAAATTAAGAAACTAAAGCTTGAAAAAAGAAAACTAGTTACCTCATCTGGACTGGTAAACTGCAATATATTATATTTTTGTTTCTGGGTTTAAATAGAGCAAGTACTAGCTGGCAGTGTATCTTATCTGTGGAGCAGTCAATAAAGTCTTGACAAATCTGGAGTGTCATCCTAGATTGTGATAGATTGTGACCCTAGATAGTACTATTCAGTTGCTGTTATTTAATGATTTTTGCAAAACTGCATACTGTTAAATACTCTGAATACGTGCTATTTTACATAAACCAGTAAATGTTGACATTTAAAATCATTATTCAATTATCATCATTATTATTTTGTCTGCATTTATAAAAAATAAATATTGACTCCTTTACAAAATTATTAAAACCATGTTTTACCTTCATGTGAT